TTCGCCAATGTATTCATCTCCGCAATTATTACAAGAGATCAGGTATATCGTACCTGAACTCATGCAATCACCGTCTCTGCCGTAAGGGCGAATTACGTAATTTGTTTGTTGGGACGGCTCGATTATATAGGAATACCAAGTAGTTAGGACGATTCGGTCGGAATTTGCTGCTCGCCTTTGTGTTCTCCACGCGGGACTTCTTGTAAGTAGCTATCACAATGTCGGAAACCTCAAACTTGGGTAATTAAACCGTTTATCATAATTATACAACAATTATGGCATAACAATACAACTGTACAATTAATACAACAATGATACAAGTAATGAATAGGTGCAGCCTGATTTCATGTGTTCAGGTTGCTCAAGTGTGAAGAGGTTGTCATATGACTTCGACCATATGAGATCGATATGAGGAAAGGATATGGCGAGCTGGGCAGCATTGCTGTGACCTGAGCTAGTCAGCCGTGGACCCGTTAATATACCTTTTGGGCTGGGCGGAGTCAGGCTACAATAGGCGGAGTCGGGTTACAGTAGGTGGAGTGGGGTAACAATAGGTGGAGTCAGGCTACAGTATGCGGAAGGACGGCTGCTGGAAACATTTCACAAGTGTTGCAATCTGATAAGGCGATAGTCAGAGCATAGGACTGTAACTGCAGATGTTTTTCATGAGATAACCGCCAACGAAATGTTAGCCATGTGGTTATCGGATCGTCATAAGGTCACCGGAAGCCGTATTTGAAATGTTTGACATAAGGTTATCAGATCGTCGTGGGAATAAGGTCACCGGGAACAGTGTTTGAAATGTTTTACATAGAGAACATTCCAATATTCGTGAAAAATGTTCTCTATATTGTTGTTAAGACAGAAGATGTCACTGTTGTCACTAAGACAGAAGACTGTCTTAGCTAGACAGCAAATCAACTTTCTCCGCCGCTGTTTTCAACACCGTGTCATGCCGAAGTTTATAAAACGAAAGCGACTTCACGAGATATGCGGTCAACCAGAGGGCAGCCAACAAGTACGAGTCATCGAAATGGAACTACTTCGAGCTGCACTACGAAGCAAGCACAACGAGATGTTTGCCAGAATGAAGAAGTGTGCAACGAAGGAACATTTTTGTGCTTTGTATTTGGAGGATCGCCTTTGGAGGAGGATAGTTGGTGGGTCAATATTGNCTAGACAGCAAATCAACTTTCTCCGCCGCTGTTTTCAACACCGTGTCATGCCGAAGTTTATAAAACGAAAGCGACTTCACGAGATATGCGGTCAACCAGAGGACAGCCAACAAGTACGAGTCATCGAAATGGAACTACTTCGAGCTGCACTACGAAGCAAGCACAACGAGATGTTTGCCAGAATGAAGAAGTGTGCAACGAAGGAACATTTTTGTGCTTTGTATTTGGAGGATCGCCTTTGGAGGAGGATAGTTGGTGGGTCAATATTGACCTACGATTTTATTAGATCTAATTCCAAAATAACCTTACAACGGAAATTCGAAGATCTTTTGGGTAAATCACATGTCTCAGCTTCAAGAAACAACCACAAACGAATTCCTTACGCATCTCATAATAGTCAAAATGACGTTGATAATACACCAAGAAAATCTAGGGTCACCGTGTTTGGGGGCATAACAATACTTGAGAATGCGCGCTCGCTATTAGAATTGGGCCCAAGGTTTGCACCATCAGAGCCCATTTCTAAAACGACCCTGCGTAGGATAGCATGCAACCTTTATGAGCTTCAAGATCGACTACGCTATCAGGCCAAGCAAGAAACATCAAATAGAGATAAAAATCAAGAGGCGGCGACACTACCACCATCTCCTTTCCCTAAAGCGTTTTTTAGACAGTTGGACTCTAACGGTGGTGTTAACATAAAATTCCGCATATTTTCCGACGGCGTTCTCAAGACCCTTGATCACTACCGCGACAGGAAGTTTATCTCTAACCTTACAGCCGCACAAAAATTTAGCATGCGGGAAATTAGAGAGTTAATAAACTCGAAAACAATAAGATTGTCTGTAAGTGATAAGGGAGGAGAGTTCGTAGTTATCCCTCGCCAGCTGGATGTTGAGCTAACAGAGGAACATCTTAGTGATGCCACCGCTCTATCGCCCATCCTCTGAAAAGGAATATAAAAGTCAATACCGAAAGCTTAACAATCAATGGGTCAGCGTGGCAAAGGCTGCGGGTTTAAAATCATCGGTTGTTTCGCACTTTAAAATCGATAGACCAACATGTACCGTCCTATACCTACTTATTAAAACACATAAGTTGGTATCACCTGATGATCATTCGTCAAGCAATCCGTCATCATTTAAGGTTAGACCGACCATCAGCTGTGTAAACGGGCCAACGGATAGAATAACCTGGTTTTTAATCCTGATACTTACCCGGTTGCTTAACCACATTCCAGCTCACCTCTTAAACACCCAAATGTTCCTAGAACGTCCACGTAACGCGTCTCCTAATAAGGCGTACGTGATTGAGTCTTTCGACGTTACCGCACTGTACACCAACGTGTCGAATGACTCCGCAATGCAAGCCATCTTTGAACCTCTTGTTGAACATGAAGGAATAATAAATATGCATGGCTTGTCCATCCAGCAGATAGTGGCTCTCTTAAAGGAGTGTCTAAACTGCTCGATTTTCAGATGGTCTGGGAAATATTTCGCGCAAATAAGGGGCTTGGCAATGGAACAGCGATTGGCGCCAAACCTTCCAATTGTGTTTATGTCTAAGATAGAAGCCTCTGTTTTCGATCTCTGGCCACTACTCCACTGCAGATATGTAAGTGATTGTTTTGTCGTCTTCTCTACGCAGTAGGAGAAGGACAAATGCTTTGAATTATTGAACGAGCAGTCCGAGTACATAAAGCTCATCAGGGAGAAACCGAGAAAAAACTGGCTTTCGTTTCTGGACGTTCAAGTAAACCTATCAAGTAGCGGTTACCTGACAAAGTGGTATCGAAAGCCAAGTAACAAGAACATTCTTGTTCATTTCCTTTCTTCCCACCCTTCACACACAAAGGGGCGATTGTGAGAAACATGTTTCGAACAGCCACCTCTGTATGCACTACCTGGGAACTAAAGGAATAATCGTGCGACTTGGCTCGGCAAATAGCCACCTCCAATGGCTACGAAATAGTAACTCCACGAGATAAGTTTACAAGGAGAGCGACGCGTCCACGCGAAACACTTGGCCAAAAGAAAGTCCCCTTTATGTTACCTTTTATAAGCGATGAAGTAAGCGTAGCTATAAAACGATGCTTAAGAAGGGCAAGTCTAAAGCAATCGGAAGCAATAGTTGAAATACCACCGGCTACTCTACGTCGCCAATTAGTCCGTAGCCGCCTGTATAACCGTCTATGTGAAATGGGAAATTGCGTAATTTACCCTTAGGGCAGGGACGGTGATTGCATGAGTTCAGGTACGATATACCTGATCTCTTGTAATAATTGCGGAGATGAATATATTGGCGAAACGGGCAGACCTTTGTGCATCCGTATAAAAGGACACCTAGATGGCAAACGAAAACTAAGACGAAGCACCCCACTAGGCACGCATAAGATACAAAAGCATAGCGGAGACGATTTTGAAGTAAAAGTCAATATCCTTGCGCAGGAGTCCAAAACACCAGCGCGAAAACTCCTTGAGGCCTTTTGGATAAATGCCAAAAACCCTACAATGAATAGCAGGGACGAATGCCCGGAGGTCATACACGACCTGATCCCGTATGTTCGCATCGATTTTTGATGTGGGATGGTGCAGTCGTCAACCACATGCCACTATAATCAGCTGCTCTAAACTTCCTCATTGGAAGTCACGAAAAAGCGGTGGGTTTTTTCGAGGAGCTGTTGATCATGTAATTGCCACAGTTTTACCACATCCACAGCCTAGTAGATTGTATATCAGTGTACCCTTCCAGGCCCTGAAGAAGTGGTTACTGCCGAAACGTCAGTTAACGTTGTATTGTATTGTGTTTTTCTATGGAAGTAAATGTATGCTGTTTAAAAACCTCGCGATTGCTGAATAAGAAAACAACACGTAAAATGTTCGAAGACCTTTTTGGGTGATAAAAGTGCTAAATACGAGTCGAATTCAAGAAGTTCTGTGGTCCGCACAGTAAATTTTGACACTCATGTAAAATTTTAAAAAATAGATAATTAGGACTTACCCTCATCCTTTTGTCTCTTTGGAGCTCTATTAGAAACAAGAGATCATGGAGAATATCCATGATGGTGTTGTAGTCAGAGGTTTTGAGTAAGGAATGCGTTTTGTGCATTAAGATATGTTTCTAGGACCTCTTCACTGCTGTTGCCACCTTATAACGGGAAGTTGTCAAATTTCCGTCTCCACATTGGAAGTGTAACCATAAAATTTCGCCATTCATCATTAATATGTGCTGTTCAAACTTTTGTCCTTTAAACTCTTCGGCCGTTCACCTAGTTTGCGTGCTAGTAGCATGAGAAACAGATTAATTTTTAAATTTTTCGCCACACATACTCCGAATCGTAAGCGATTCGTATAGACCGTTTTTCAATCCCAACATGACCACGCTCCATGTCAAACGCTTTTTGTTCTATGACTTTGCTCCTCGGTGTGTTTTGTTTGTAATCTCTACTTTTTCTTCAAATGTTCGAGGCCTCGGTTAACTTCTTCTATGTATCTTTCTCTATTCTTAGGTCATTTTCATTTTTCTTTCACTATCCGGCCATGGTGTTGTCAGATTTTTTAAATCTTTCTTATCCATATATATATACATATATATACATATATATATATATATATAAGCTGAACGTTCGAAGAAAAATTTATGCATGCTTATCGACAAGTATAATTCAGTTTCCTAACTGCAACGAACTGTATGCGTATTTCCACTAAACAATCTGAGTTATACAAAAATTAACTGACCAAATGCAGAAACAATGCCTGAAGGAAAAACTTGAGAATGTAACAAGACGTTAAAAAATCAGAACGTGACCTAACAGTGATAATGTAATCATTTTTTGAAAGCTCTTAAAATTGGATAGATATGTTTGAAAGCTTGGTCGATGTCTTCTTGATTCCGACCTCCGGTGATTACCACCTAATAGGGGATATTACTTTACTGTGTTCGACTCTACATATGTATCTAATATGTACTGGAAGCCACGAGGACACGTACTCAGAACGAACCTTCCCGGAAACGAAAATCAGCAGCACTACCCTCGGTTGAACCATACGATAGATCAATCCGGGGAAGAGCTCCGGTTCGTATGAACTGAACGGAGCATGCGTTATACATAATCCCTCTAACTGAATCGAAAATCGCACATCACACGACCCGACAACATTTTGAATCTAAAATACTTTTTAACTAATAATATTAATGATATTATTAATATTAAACGATGCAAGCGTAATGAGGAACTGAGAAGTTTCTAAGATAAGTGCCATAATCGCCAAATTGCACGATTATAACGCATTACAGCGGCTTTCAAAGAAACGATGCTAGAAGTATTTTCGCTTTCTATCGAAAAGAAAAATTCTACAAAAACGGTGCCAGAAAATTTGTCTACAGTAACCCACGACAATTTACGCATTCCTACCATAGGAAAATTACTGTTACTTTCCTACTTTCTCTATTTTTGGTCTATCCTTTCTGCTTTTCGTTCTTATTCGTTACCTGCCTTCCTAATGATCACTCTTCTAGTATCCCATTGAAAATTGCAATAATAGATTTAAAACCTTGTGATTGAATCGTATTGGAGAGTTTATTAGCCACCAACAAGAGTATCCCCAAGTCTACCGACGTCCACTGTTCCACTTGTGGGAGTCAATTTAAAAGCTCATAGGTTATTTTTAAAAATGTTATATCGTGCATCAAAAGTGTGTTCCATGTTCTGGCAGACCATGCTTATGCTAGTTGATCAAAGCGATTTCGGAAATTCTCGCGTAGCTCACCTTGAAATCGGTGAATCTCACATCAAATCCAACTTTTTGAACTATTCGAGCAAATTTGCGAGAAGCTTGCCTTGAAAATATTCTTTTGTCGTTAAATCGTACTAAGATGTACGCATTCTTACTTCGTGATCAACAGCACTAGAATTCGCACCTGCTTGCACATATCGACTTAGCACCACTAGTTACCATCTTGCCCGATGAGAAGATGAGCGCCGTTGTTCGTGGCTCTCGGATTCGCATAATCACTGCTGAAAACCTCTTTGGGTTGTACTCGCTGTTCCTTGAATGTAAAGTCAATTTTTTCAAGTCGATTCGTTGACCTAGAAAAAATTAAACTAAGTTGCTTTATCCAGGTTTTCGAACTATTCATTGTTACAAGATTTCTTCATCGACCATACCACATTACACAAACATTTCGATCTCTATATTAGTAAGTGGGAACGATTTTAACGAATGACGTAGAGGGTTTTAAGCGAAAAGTGAGAACTGAAATAGAGCGACTAGATCAAATAAAAGCAAATCCTACTATCAATCACCATATCAACGGCGATTCGTTCTGACATTAAGAAACAGTCCTATAACGAGTCGGCACGACTACTCGCTACATTCGCAGATTTGGTTCATGTGTACTTGTCGTGAGCTCAACATCTGCACCGATTACCGTGTCAACACATTCGTGACAATATCCAGTTTTTCGCCGCTCTGATTTTGAATGGAAATCAACTCACAGCGGCCACAATATTTGGTTAGTAAACGGATCGGCTTTTTTGATTGTGATTTTCTTTCTATAAGTCGGTTTCTAATATATGCTGATGGAATGCCGTTAGTGCAACGATAGAGACACCATTGCTCAAGACCTTAGTTAGACCCACAACAGGCTAACCGAACATCTTATTCTATCATAACCGGGATTTTCGTATCAAAGTTATCAGCAAAGAGCTTCCACCGATCAACAAAAGCAGTTAAATGTTTTTGGAAAAAAGGCAGGAACGTTTTAATAGAGCTACCACAGAATTCTGGGAAAAATAAAACTTGACTAGGACTCAACAAGATTCAAGTGGCAACCGAAAACACACACTTATAGGAAAAAATTCGTAGTCGATACATGCGACGAAACGAATCGAATGAAGGAAGTGCTGGGACCCGCACTACATGCCATGTCGCCTTATGTAGAACAAAATAAAATAAAATAAATAGTTATACCTTTTTATTTTTGCCTACTATAATTTCACGGCAGGGTACTAAGCGAAATACAACCACAGCGTTGCTGAGATATTTGCAAAACTCTGGGCTTCGATCCTGCTCCTTGGGCTTATCAAAATTTTTATGCCTCTGGGAATCGGCAGGCTATTGCTAAACTTATCTAAGAGGGTAAAAAAAAACACTGATTTTATAATCTTAGCAGTTTTATTTATTGCCTATTATTTTTAATGGCAGCGTATAACGCGAAATATAACTACAACGATGCTGAGATATTTGCAAAACTCCGGACCGCAGGTGAGCGCGGTGAGGAACGAACGCGCTATTATCCTTTCCGGGGAGTAACGCGTTCACCACCACACCATGCGGGTCCTTCGTTTCGCCTGTCTCTCAGCTATTTCTATAAAATAAATAGCGTATTTCTGGAACAATGTCTGTGTTTCTGATGTTTAAATGTCGTTGTTCTCCTATCTAGCTGCTCATGCTTTTAGAACACTTCCATCCTATTTGAGTGAAAAAAACAAAACCTAAAATCAAATCCCATTCATTATCCAGTCGCAGCCTTGTTGGGATTCAGTAATTAGTTGTCGCAACATGCTGTAGATTTTGATAATTTTTATATTCGTTTGTTTCACAGGATAACCATAACCTATTTTAGCAATTGGAAGTGAGATAGAACTCAAGTGTTTCAAAATCAGAAATTGAGATTTATATAATTTACATAACCTCCCAACGGTTTACCATCTTATCTTGGCCTGAGAGGTGTTCCTAGGTGGAGGGCTGCGATATACAGCGTGGGATAGATCCCTCTGGCAGGGTCTTCCAAGCTGAGAAAGAGTCTGGCGTTCCCATCAGGAAGCCTAGCTAAGAGTAAACCAATACAAGGGCCCACCACAATTCTGGTATCAAACTACTCGCATGGTGGCAAATGTCTCTCAGATCCACAAGGGCTGGGCTGCCTGTGGTGGTGACGACCTGGGACAGATTTTAGCTATGCTGACGTCAGAGCCTCAGGGAAACGAAATACCAGTTAGACCAGCAAAACTCCGAAAAGTGGGGATTATGCTGGGGCCAGCACTAGTGAAGACGGGCGGTCTAAGAATAAGTGCGATTTACATAATAGATGACACTAAGTTTTCGACGACTCCTATCAGGTCTTCATTTACCAAAATAGTTGGGAGTTGAGAACTTGGTGGCCTCCTATAGTAGAAGAGGTTTTCTCCATCTCGCTATGGGTTTATATGTCATCAAATACTCGCTCATTTTATACGATAATCATCAATGTATATTAATGAGGATAATAAACTAAATGACGTACAATTCTCTAAAAGTTACGAGAATTGGAACGTAAAATGTTTCTGAGCACAGCGTATGGAAGATATGAAAAGGAAATGACAATGGTAATAAGAATTGGAAGCTATTTTTGAAGACAAACAGTGTGGAAGCGCATTTATTAGCGCACATTTTTTGAACGGCAAGTCACTCCCGACGTTATTTATTTACTTTTTACGTGACCCGTTTATAGAGAACGTTTCTGGTGAGATATTCTATATCTTTCATTTCAGTATGTTTTATATTAATTTATCTTTGTGATTTCTGTCACGCGAAATATAGCACCCCAAGTTTACTTCCTAACCATCCGGCACACCACAGAGCACGATAACACCGCCTGGTAACTTGACCCCGCAACCTTCGGCATTCGTTTGGTTGTGGGTGTAGCCGGTTATGTCCCTTAGCAGTGCCCGCCTCTTCGGACCACACCTAAAGGTTGCCATTGCTGTTCCTCTTCACTACCTTGGTGCATTGACTGCTTGAAAGGACCTAACAACTGTTCGACATCAGTTCGCAATTCGGCACCGCTGCAACCTTCTCAACGTCGAAATAACTTAATCAACTTTACTGAAATTCAGCTTCGCAGGTGCCACCTTAGCTCGTTGCCTTTATCGTTGGGATGATATGTGAAGATGGCTGTCGCTCGTCGTTATAGCTCTATTCTGCCGCCTCACCATGCCGCCATCAAATGTCCTCTGCGGTTCCTAGAACATTTTGCATTCGATTCGTTGTCCACATATCCATCATCCACGGAAGTAATTTAATTTTCGCGTGTTGTTTCGGCTGCTTTTTGAATTTTTTCTTTTTATGAATTTCATGAAATGCCTGTCGAGTCGATTCTCACTGCAGTCTTACATAACTGAGCTAAGGCGTTCACACCTGGATTAGATGAGGGCGCTGAGGATGCGGTTGACCTAGCGCCTTGTTTCCTGTTGAGCTGTTTCGCTTTCCATTATTCTACGTTCTCCTCTCTTTTAACACTGTGATTTATGCGTCTGCGAATACATCTATACAAGTTTCCTCAATGACTCGCTATTTTGTCGCAGCGGGTGGATATCGCTGCGCATCCATCTTCAACGTTCCAAGACATTTTCTTACTTGCCGAAAGTTGTCTCTGTGGTGAGCTCCGTATTCACCCATAGCGGTCTCACAATACGGGCAAAAAAACCTTACGATAAGCAGTTTTTTGTAATTTATTAACTGTGAGATATAGTATTTAAAAAACTCTGCAATACGGTGAAAGCGCCTCAAACCCAGCTATCTCCAAGATTGCAAAGAGAATCAACTCGACCAAAATTCCACGGCATTCATAAAGAAGACGAAATTCTCAAGCAGCAGGTGAAAACAACACGCGAAATGTTCGAAGACCATTGTGAATTTAGGATGCGAGGAAAAGAATCGAATGAAAGAGGTGTTGGAACCCGCACAGCAGATGTGATGAGGGGTCATGGAAAATTAAAAATTGTATTTCTCCGTCGAGACCTCTATGGTTAAGCTGCCTATTGACTATGCGAAGTTTGGTAGAAAAGTTCTGTTTGCAGGATAAACCAGTGAAAAGAAATGAGTAGGTTCCAACCCATTTCGATTCCTGTGTTCCTCAAGAGAGAATGGATATCAATTCATGTCGTCACGAATGTGGTAAAGATTCTCTCAAGCATTAGCATTTACAGCGCTTACTTAATTTATATTTTGTTGCTGAGTAAACACTATGAACACTTTGTCTAAAGAACTTACCTAAATCAACCGTTGCAACGATGTTCTGAATAGAAGGCATTAGCGTGCCTAGCGAAATTGTTGGGTTAGAGACGATGACGGGAACCTGGATACTCGACGATGAGTGAGATTTCTGAAATCACATTGCTATGAATGAATAACAAATATGTTAATATTACCCTTATCCTCAGTTACTTTTTTAACTCGTCATTAATTTTACTGAATAAGTAGCGTCTTTTTTCTGCTGCATTACATCTTTGATGCTTACAAATGAGTTGTGTTCCTGTAAAGGGACAGTTGATACAACTGGTCTCAGCGAAATGTTCTGAAATTAAACTCCTTAGATGGTATCATTAGTGGTAATATAAGATAAATACCTTACAACTTTAAGATGGAAAAACCTACCTTATGGGCATAGTCTTTTTCGAAGTTTTCTTCTTTAATACTTGAACGAAATAATTTGTGAAAATCCTGATTAAAGATACTCGATGGCCCTGTGAGAAATCAATTAGAGATACAAGCACATTTTAGAAATACAGTAAGAACAATTTAAGACAGTAACCCAAATAAAACATATGGGGTTTCCTTTGTTGACGATTCTTTCCATAAAGCCGACTCTCCATTTAAAATCTAGTACACAGGTAAGAGCAAGTCCATTGGAAGAGGCAGATGAGTTAAACATTATCGTCTTTTGCGAGGGACCAGTAATTGGAGGTTGCCACTATAGAAGACTGTTGCGGAATTACGCTACCGAGAATGGAAGGTCCACCATCGACGAGTAGATGAGCACTACAAGAAAGCTTTGTTGAATTTGCATTTGCTGTGGGTAAGGGACGAGTGTCTGCTGAAACGTGTTTTTTAAGTAAGACGTCTAAAGCTACACATTCAATGAACATAGAACAAACTTTGATACTATCTTTTTGGTGAACTGAATGGAATTTCGTACCAGATTTGGTATAGTACAAACGGACTAGCATATCTTACCAAACGGACTA